AGCCAGCACACCACTGTACATCACACGTTCGCCATCTACATATCGATTCTGGTTTCCTTGCTCAGTACTCCTAGTTGCAACTACAACTGAGGCCTAAGAACAGAATAGTCGCCCACCATGTGCAGATTTATGGCAAGTCTGCTACAAAACCTAAAAGTACTACCCAACTAACACATGGCAGGTCTACAAAGGCAAAGATGATATCCTTCTCTCTGAACTCATTCTCAACCCTACTCACTCTATCCTCACACAATCATTCGACTCACGTTTGCGACTAGTACGTCACCCATTGCATTTCCCCTTGCTTGGAATCATCCATCTCGCTCTCCCAACTAACACCACCACTACTCCAGGACCGCCGCCGCCCACACAATGGTGACGGCTTCGGCATCGGCTACTACACCTCTCCCTCACTCGGCCCCACGCCCTGCGTATTCACCTCCACAATCCCCGCGTGGAACTGCATCAACCTCTCGCGCATCGCTTCCAAAACGACCTCGTCCCTCATCTTCGCCCATGTGCGCGCCACGACCGAAGGCAACCTCAGCGACAGCAACTGCCACCCCTTCAGCTACAAAAGCATCATGTTCATGCACAACGGCGGCATCGGCGCATGGCGCCAAATCAAGCGCCGCTTCGCCCTCAGCCTCGCCGAGAAATGGTTCAACGTCGTCGGCGGCTCCACTGATAGTGAGTGGGCCTTTGCCATGTTCCTCGACTGCCTCGCCAACGCTGGCGTTTCCCCAGACAAAGAAGTAGAGCCGGGTGTTGGGTTCGGACATACGGTGCTCAGGAAGGCGCTGCTCAAGACGATTGAGAGGATTAATGGCTTGATTAAGGAGGTTGTGGGCGAGCAAGGGGTGGGGGAGGAGGATAGTAGGAGTTTATTGAATTTTGCGGTCACGGATGGTGTTAGTGTGGTTTGTTCGCGGTATGTAAGTTCGACGAAAGATGAGGCGGCGAGTCTGTTTTTTAGTAGTGGGACGAGCTGGAAGGAACTTGGTGGAGACACTCACCGCGGTGTTGCGGCGTCGGTGGGGAGCGATGATGGGAGTAGCAGTGGTGTTGTGGATAGCGAGGAGAGAGAGAGGAATTATGTCATGGAGAGGAGGGATAAGGGGTCGGATATTGTGCTTGTGGCGAGTGAGCCGTTGACGTTTGAACGCGGTATGTTACATCCCTTTCATTTATCCTTGTCTGTTTTGAATCGAGATAGAAATGAAGGCTAATAAGATATAAACAGATAATTGGGTCACAGTTCCGACAAATAGTACCCTGACTATTTCCAAGCAAACAGTAATGATTCATCCTATCGTAGATGAATTCTACTCGCCTAACCCTGCGCATGAGCGTAGTGCCCAGTTTGCCAAAGCCAAGGGGCAGACCGTTACGGGGAAGGCGTGAGAGTGGGTTTTCTTTTCAGGGTGATATTTGAATCAGGCAGTGGGTGTTTGGAGTAGGAAAGGCGTTGAAGTTTGTGCTTTGGTGTCTGTGTTTCCTTGGCTTTTAGGAAGGAAAGAGATGATAGTACTCTTTTTCGTTCTTTTCGTACGATTCAGTAGGGTAGTCACGTACACGAGTTTTTTCATGTTAAACAAAAATAAGTGTATTTGAACTCTAAGCCAAGAATTTTACTACGTTTTCCACATCCTACCCACCTTCACGCCGCAAGCGCCTTCAAAACATCCGGATGCTTCCGTTTCCGCGCCGGATATGCCTTTTCAGCCTTGAACGCATCAATCCGATCCCCATCAAACAGAATGTCGTACCTGTCGACCACAGCCTTGCAAAATTCCACCCAGGCTTCGTTGAGATAGCCGTGTCCTTGCACTTTTTCCTCGGCACTCAGACAGCTGTAGTCGATGCTCCATCGTGCCAGTTGCTTCCAGCTGTACAGCGACATGCTTGGCGCGCCGACCATGACTTGATAGAATTCGTGAGACATTGAGTTACTGTGTTATCCCGTTAGCAATTCTGAAATGTCTAGAGAATATGATGGGTGTGTGGGAGTCCTACCTGAATAGAGATGGGTTATCAGAATTGACAGTACAAGGTATACCCGCAGCCAGTAACTCGGGATAAGGATGCTCCTTTATATTCCTACAGAGATGCAAAAGCTCATTCGAAATGGGGCACAGCTCAATGCAGATTCCGGGGCTAGATTCTGTTTTTCGGAATTTCTCGAGCAAATGCGGGTGCTTCATCAGGGCGAAGCCATGGCCGATGCGCTGCGAGTTGAGGGCGACTGCGTCGTAAAGGTTGGATTTTGTAGGGTCGCTGGAGCCGCCTGTGTCGAGGAGCGTTTCACCAGCGTGGAACATGAAGGGAATTTCTAGATTCAGTGCTTTGCATGTTTCCTGGAAGGCGACGAGTTGGGTTCTGTAAAAGTCAATGTGGTTGGGGCGGTCTTCGGCGCCGACGAGGTCGAATCCTGTATGTGGGTTAGAAACTAAACATGTCTCTATACTTATCTTTGTCACTTACCGCAGATTAGCTTGGGAAATTGAATCTTGAGCTTGATACAATCCCTCATTTCGTTTTCCATCATCTTGGGTGGTATGGATCGTGGCGTGCAGTATATGATCTTGAGTCCGAACGGGAACTTGTGAATCTCACCTTTTTGTCTTAGCTCAGCTTTCTTCGCCTCTACCCCCTCAATAATAAGCTTCATCTGGGCGGCATTATCAAGACGATCTTCTGGCTTTCCACTATCTCCAGGAATGAACTTGTCTAAAAGCATTGGTCGTAGTTCAGCATACATGACCCCTTCCTCAATCATTCGGTCAATGGCATCGCTTATATAGGATACGTAGACGCTTTTGTAGTTTAGAAGCCCTTTAAAAGCCCTTGTGGCTTGGTTGAATCGCGCCCAGACCCTGTGTGGGTATTAGCAAATGATTTCCTTAAGTAGTAACAGACGTACCCATTAACAGTCTGGTCAGGCCGGTAAGCCTCCTCTTGACTAAGTACCATCTTCGACCTTAGCCAGTTCTCAGCTGGCCTTAGTAGAGCACGAGGTGCCGAGTCTCCACAATGATGCGGCTGCCCCTCGCGGAAAGTCTCTGGTTCTTGGTGCAGGTACTTGCCAGGAAATTTCTTTTCAAACTCATCCTGGAACTTTGCCCATGGCATCCAGATTTGCCTTTGAAACTCTTCTTTCTTGAGGTCGGCGGGAGTTGTGACAAGAGGATAATCCATTGAAAATATATCAACGTTAGGATTGATAGTGTCTGGATCTAGGACATTAAAGATCAACTCGGTTGTGGCCAACTGCTGCTCATCTTGGATGCGCTGAATGCTGCGGATATACATGTTCTTCATTGTTCGGGCTCGTACAAGAAGGATTTCAGGATGTAATTCGGCATTGAAGTGCAGGTGCAGAAGGCCCCCCTTAGGCACCATCTTGGATATCTCAAACAACTTGCTGTCCTTATCTATCCGTTCTTTGTTAGTAAGATATTGGCCACCCATGTCCTGATCCTCAATATCCGGGAGCGACTCCGAGGCCAGATTTCCAAAGGTAACGATGCGCTCATACTCGCGAATCTGCTGTATGATGATGGCAGCTCTTCTCTCCGTTCTATCTTCCTCAGATGTTGAATTACTGTTCGGCTTTGCTTCCCGATCCCAAGCGTTGTCTTCTTCTATTTGAAGAAGGTTGCTCCTCTGTTGCCCGTATCTCTCTGATGCTGTTGCATCCTTTAATTCTTGTTCAAACTTGGCCAAGGCCTGTGCCTCTTGCTGTTGTTGCATTTGGCTATCAGGAATTGGATCAGGGGCCTCTTTGTCTGCAGGATGAAAAGGCACTTTTCGTGTTGGATGCGAGCTCGTCACTCTTTTTCTCTTCTTTGGTGAGTCAGCTGTCATGACCAGCCTGTTTGGATCCTCTGGAGACGTGTGTCTGCCACGTACAAAGCTGCATGCATTCGTTAATACAGACGTGCACACGAGATGCGTGTTTTGGTCCAAGACTCACAATGTGGGGATCACGATACCACACTTGGCCAGCAAGCCTGGGCGGGCTTGTTGAGACTCACTTGAAAGTTTGATGTCGCCGTCAGTGGGCATACCGGTGATTGTTTTGGCAAGATGATTATGGTCGGCTGTTCATGCCAATGCGCATAAAGTCGCAGGGAAAGCAATGCAATGATGATTGCATCCGGTTGCACCTGCATTCAAAAACCCCTCGAGGCAAATTTCTTGCTTCACCGGTCCAGGCTGTGAGCAATACTCGGTGTAGGATGAATCGTTGTCTGGTATAGTGCTGCTTGGTAAGGCCTTCAACTAACGGTGAAACCTAACCTGGTGTTGTCGACGGAGTACCAGTATCAAGTGTTGTAGGCCCGATTTTTGGCCTAAGGCACGTGGCCGTACGGATCAGTAAAGTAGTTTGATGAGTGGAGTTCCGGTGTAGCTATATGGGCTGCGCCTCGATCACGCCTTGTCCTGTTGCCTGGGGATGAAGAGAAGACGATGAGGGGGGTGTGAGTAACGGCATGTTTGATGGTGTCTGCCTCGTGATGGCAACCGCAAAAGACACGCTATGGAAAAGGAAGGAGCGTCCACATACATCAGCGCACACTTTCTGTGAATCTTTCCTTCTTCTCCTGACACCTCAGGTACATGCGACACCACATCCAACGTCTTTTTGAAACAATTAGGTCGTGAGCGCAAATGTCGCTGTTGGATCGTTTCACGTCAAGACCAGCCTACCCTTTGCCGTCGAGGGGGCGCAGCAGTCGACAAGCTCAAGGCGTTTATCACGACAAGCGGGTCGGTTCCTGGAGACAAGGCTAGAGTTGCTGGCACAATTGAGGCTATGCAAAAAAAGCCACAGGCCATCAGCGAGACCCCTCATTCACCAGGCTCCAATCGCTTGGGGCTTTGGACATGCGTTGACATTCGCTTCCTTCGATGCAGCGCGAACCGACAGCCTTCTAACCCGAGCGGTAACACAGGCGCTTTTGGCCCCCCGGCTGCAGCCCGTACAACCTTCATTCCACGCCTCCACGCGTCGTCACCGTCATGCATGCCTTTGTGCCTCGAATTTGCGTTTGATATATATCGACTTCTACTAACTGTGCTCACCTCAACGCCGCACTTCAATCAGCGCTGCCCTTCAAATTGACCCATGTCGCATCTCTGCCTTTTTACGCCTTCGTTCCGTTCCGCCCTCTAGAGACCCCCAGTACTTACCGATATGTATTGGCTTCCGGCCGACAACGACGGGAAACTCTCCTACAAAGAATTGCAGCTCGACATTGTTGGCTTCCTAGCCATTTTGGGAGAGGGTTCAGTCCTGGCCAACGCGCAAGTCTCAACACTTTCCAGATGGATCTTCTTGCCGCGCCTGCTCCCAGCACCTCAGGCTCTAATGAGACCCACGAGACCAAGTAATCTTGAACCATTTCCAGGGCATGTGACGGGCATTGTCTCGGGCAACCACCGAGATCACATTAACCATATTGGCAACATTGTCTGGTGAGTGCACCATTACTGGTAAACTTCGCTACTAGCAAGTTCCGACAAGGCACCTCCCCGCCTGTCTACCAGACTGTAACACGCGCGACAGCAATCACGGCGTCATGCTTACAGAAGCCAACTAGCGATGCTAACAACCTCCCTGAATTCAACGTCCGCGTCGTCCAAATCAAACGCGTCAACGACCGGGAGCTCAAATCAAAGACTTTCGGCCCGCTCACCGTCGTCCTCCTCATTGGTTTCGCCCTCTCCGTCTTACTCCTAGCCTTGTCAATATGGCAAGACGACGGCATGTCTATAGTAGCTACGCTGGTGCTATCATCCCTCTCTAGTCTGATTGGATTGAGCAACAAATGGCGATTGAAACTCCCCTCACGCCCCGACAAAGACCGCAAGGTACCACGCGGAGATCTTGTGATACGATATTTGAAGGGTAGCTTCTTGGTGGTGCGATGCGAGGAAGATGTTGCCCGGGAACTTTACTTTGCACCCGAAGGCATCCACTATCTCATCACCCACGCTCCCGTATACAGACTACTGAGCTTGATAGGCACCATGATGCTCATGGGCGGCGTCATCTGTCTCGCCAATGCGCAAATCCAAGTCCAGATCGCATGGGCAGGCTCTTATATGCTCCTCAACGCGTCGTACTGGATCGTGGCTGCGTTACCTAGCAAGATGCACTGGGACACATCTTGCTACGAGGTGATACCCGAATGCCTTACCGGCTCCGACCTTAAAACAAAGGGCTTTCCGTCTAAAAGTGCATCGTATACATGGGCTCTGTGGAAGGCGATTTGCGTTACCAAAGACACGGATTGGGTGCTGAGGAGTTCCGCTTGTCCTGATACGAAAGCGTGGAAGGAGTGGTTGAGGGAAGCCAAAGCGTGCAGCAAAGATGTCAGGCTGGTCGACGACGAAAGGATATCAAAAGGCGAAACCATGTGGGAAGTGCCTGATTGGGACCCTCAGGAATCCCTGTCACGCTTGATAGCGGAACAAGCAAACAGTGAGAACAAGAGGTTTGAGGATGTCTGACAAGATGCGACTTGGATTTTTTTTCTCCTCTCTCCTCTGGAATTGGCCCTTCCTTTCTCTCTCTAGGTTTTTTTTTGCATAGCGCTGGGAAAACAAGGGATTCCACCACCGCCATTATCATCATCGGACGAAGTTCAACGACATTTAAGGAAAAAAAACGACGACTTTTCATACGACGGCTTGTTCAAGGTACCATGGGCCACAAACCGTTGACATGCGTTTATCGCGCATATACCATTGCTTACGACGATATGTTTTCTCATTATCAGGCAGCGTTGATTATTGTTTTCCTTTTTTTTTCCAATCACAAAAAGCCATTAAATTACTGCATCGCATTTGGATCGCACTCTGGATCGCATCTCATACACATAGGTTATCAATTGAGGAAATGATACTTTTGGTGCTTAGCCCACAATTATTGGATACTCTTGGTTTTCAGAAATGCATTAGAGGTTAAGTAAAGTCTGCCTCTTGGGCACCTTTGTTGTTGCATTCGGATCCCACTTATCTAGCAAGTGGACATGTTTGTGGTTCTCGAAAAGAGGTGTCTCTTGTTCAACGGCCGGGCAATACATGGCTGCAGCACCAAAGGCACGCGACTTAAGCAGTGACCTTGTTTTTCCAATGGAACTCTGGAGGCAGCGTTTTTTGCGCGTACCGGCATCAAGATGGTGAGCTTGTCGGATGTGACATGAAGCTTTTGGGCTTCTTGGAAAGAGCTTCCCCGCTGTCTGCGTTGGTCTGAAAACATCCACTCTTCAGGTCGCGCTCCTCCACCGCTGCTCGTGCTCCACTTTTCTCTTCACCACGCTCCTCAGCCACTTGTCTAAACTCTCTGCTTCAGCCTGCGCGTCGATTTCCATTGCATCGCCCTCAACGTCCAATTTGATACCGCCTTGGTCTTCACTGTCGTCCTCACCGCAACACGTTTCCTCAGCCATTTGACAGGCTTCATTCCAATCTTCATAACTAAAGGATCCTTCGCTCTCACTCAGCAACATCTTCCTCTTGCCTGAAAAAGCGAAGACATGGACTGAGCGTATGGGTTTCGCGCGTAAGAGCTGGTTGGCGGTTGGGGATAGAAGCGCCGAAGAAGGTGAGGCAGGTTGCGCGACCATTACGGATGTAAGAGTTGTGGATAGGGGTATCGAGGCAGAGAGAAGGGCGAGAAGCGCGGTATGGAGAAGGTGGGGGAGGAGAGAAAGAGACTTGGGATAATTGTCAGCGATCTTGACCACGGCCGCGAATGATGAGCTTCAGACGAACCGTATTGATGCCTGCGGTGCTGTCTTCCTCTGGCAAGCTCCTCACTTGCAGGGTGATTTGGACCAGCGTTCGTGGTATCGATTGCGTCAGGATAATGCTGCGCAGTGTGTTGTGCACAAGGGTTTCGAGGTGCCGCTCTCTTGGGCCTTTGGAAGTATTATTGTCAGCACCGAGCTATCTTTGACAATATACTATTGGATATCAATACGCACTTCCTACGCCCGCGGCTGGCCTCAGGTTGACTTCAATGGCGGCTTCTTCTGGCAACTCATCGCGCCGCTGCACCTCGATTGGCCCATTGACGGCGCCGATGATGGAGTACCCGTTGTGTGTGTATGTCGCTGAGCCATCGGCGCGATTCAGGTGGGTGAGGGTGACTGTCGGGACAACCATGGCGGGATGTATTTTTGTATTGTATGCGCGTGTCGGCGTCGTCATGGGTTGGTGGCGCCCATGTCCAAAAGTTTTGGTGGGGAGATAAGCTTTGGTCGCGGAGCGCACATGAGCTCTATGCGACCGAGGTGCCAGCCAGCATCACCGCGGCCAACCCAGCGAGCCAGCCAGCCCATTGCGCCTGGGACGTGTTGGCCAGCCAGCCTCCTCGCTCGCCTTTCACCGCCATCTCACCCCCGGCGCTCCCTCTGTACAAACTCCCCGCACAACTCTCCACCTCGTACCACCAGCCCGGTTTACGTGCCAATCGCAGAGTGAAACCCACATCATGGCCGGCTCTTCGCGCAATGCCTCGCCTATCAAGCGGCTGATGACGGAGCTGCAAACATACCAATCCAACAAGAACGATGTCCTCTACGACCTGGGGCCCACCGACGACGACGTCATGCAATGGCGCGCCGTCATGAAAGGTGTGCCAGGAACCGCATACGAAGGTATATGCATTCACCTCTTCCACCCGCTCTTCACGCTACTAACACATACCCAAACAGACGGCTGCTGGCTCCTCTCCATCTCCATCCCCTCAACCTACCCCCTCGCGCCCCCCACCATCCGCTTCATAACCCCCATCTGCCACCCCAATGTCGACTTCAAAACCGGCGAAATCTGCCTCGACCTTCTCAAGACCTCTTGGACCCCTGCTTACACTATCTCCACGACTATGACTAGTATCCACCAGCTGCTTACCAGCGCTGAGCCAGATAGCCCGCTCAATGTCGATGTCGCACAGTTATTTCGCACGGGCGACGAGGTTGGCGCGCGGAGCTTGATCCGCTGGTATACTGCTAGTGAGAAGTATGCATGGAAGGATAAATATTAGACATTCAACTTGGCAGGAAGTGATGAATGTGACGGATAGTATTGGCGTTTTTTTTACACAATTGTTTTGGGCAAGATACCCAAGTAAACTGACTCGAATTATCCTCAAAAGAAATATGTCATGTGAATTGCGTTTTTGATTTCTTACCTTGAACCAAATCTTCTTTTGTTCTTAGAAAGCAAATGATTGTGGATAGTTATCAAAGAAATCATTACTAAGAACCCACCAAAAGACCAAACTAAGTCCTTGGCAGATACACATACATATAACTAGTCCTATACTATTTTCTCCAGCTACCTGACTCCACAGCTAATAAAAACACCCCACATCTTTGTGCATCTAGAACCCAATCCACGCTTCAAGAGAACGAGAAAAAACGAGCGAAATGCATATAATTATGCCATGGTCTTTCCAGCACACCCCCGCCTACTTCTCGTGTCTCCGCGGAATGCCAAAGAGCTGAGAATGGTTTGTTTCGGAATTTCCCATGGGGAGGATTTGATCACGTAACATATTTTAACCTTTTGGGCTGTGAAGGAGAAAGTTAGAGTTTAGGTATGTGATTAGCGAGGGAGATAAGGAGGGAGGGCTGAAAGGCTTTTTTTCTAGTTTGAATGGTGGTATTTGGGTCGGATTGAGTGTGGAGAGAGAGAGAGAGATTGAGATGGAAAGTTGTATGACTCGTCTTGCTCTATGAACGAACGACCTTATTTTTCTATCTAGTTATCGTTAAGAAAAAACATCTAAGTACTCAAAAAATGAACATGCGCAACGGCGCCCTTAGTTCCACCATAAAATTCCCTACCGTTTCCATCAGTACACCACAAACCCCAACACCTCCCCAACTCTTGCAACAAAAAATCTTGCATATTGCCTCCCCATGTACCCTTTACTTTCCCCTCCCCCAAAAAGCCCAACCCACACCCACCCAATCAACGCCCCACAAATCCTATAATTGCCTTCCCGCAGCCCGCACCGGTATCCCCCAAGACCCCCCTCCCCCTCGCCCCCGGTCACCTTATTTTCCCTCACTCAGCTACCAAGCACGCACGCCACCACGCGGCGCTAACGCAAGCCTCTGACTGAAAATTGACAGGGTGCTGCCCGTATGCGGTTCACGCCGTTGAGTGGGTGGTTTCGCTGCGAGGTTTGTGGTCACGCGGCTCTCTCGAAAGCTGGGCGACAGCGAAGCAAGTACAAGCGCCAATATGCTACTTGCTTCTTGTTTGGTTGCGGCTGTTTGGGGTTCGGGTAGGAGATGACATCCTGGGTTTTTTTGGGGCAGGTTGGGGGTGCGGTGAGCGGGTGGGAGAGGAGAGGAGAGGAAGGAATGGAAGTGTGTGGGTAGAAGCAGGTAGAGAGAAGGATCAGGTGAGATGAGAGGTGAATGTGGGGAGAAGGGTAAGGTGTGTAGGCAGGAAATGAGGTGATGCGTGGTGTTTTTGCTATCTTTCTCCCAAAGCATTAACATTTGAGATGGTATCGTCGATTACACGCCTTTAGAAGCCTCATTTTTTCTTGTTTTTTTTTGCCTTTTCAGCCGCGCGGGTAATGGGGCAGTATGCGGATTTTTGCTGGGTAAAAGAAGAAGAATAAGAAAAAACACGACATCATCCGGTGTTGATGGTCCATTGGCTGCGTCTCCAGCCTCTTGTCGAGACAGTGACGACGCCTTCACGGATAGTGTCGTTTTCTGGGCTGATGTTTGTGGGGATGCGGCGTGAATAGAGGATAGTCTCGAGTTCTTCGGGCCTTTTATCTGTAGGCGCTTCCGTTTTCATGCACTCTTCTGTGATTTCTGCGACTGCGATTGTTGGCAAGGGAACTGGAAAGTATGGTGCGTCGTATGGTCCGGGAAGACTCTGCGGCGGTGCTATCCATGGGTATATGGGTGAACGAGATGGTTCCAGAGTTTCCTGTTTGAGGGATTCAAGGTATTCGTTTTGGTTTTGTTCCATTGATGACTGATGAGCTGTGTCGTGTCTTTGTGCTTCCGGGTTGGTGTTCTCTTTCGAGTCCGCATCTGGATGCACCTGCTTTCTCGCAGACACATCCATCTCTCCACACTGGGACGAATCTTTTCGTTTTTTGACAACCAGTTTCTCTTGGCCCACGCCTGAGTCCTCCATCTTCTTATCAAAAAGCAACACGCTTTTTCTTCTTCTTCCCAGAATACGTGCGATTGATCGTAGGGTTATTGCAAACAATGAAACTAGCAAAACAGTGCTAAAAAGAGTCTGTGACTCAACAGCTGTGCGCCAGCCATCCAAGCAGCCAACCCCAGTAGATATAGGGAGTGGAGGCATCGGAACAGTGATGACGACGGTGCGACGGATATAGGCCTTGGCACGGTACTTCTAAGCAACTGACGAATTAACAAATATATAGATGCTGCAGACTGGGATAGCTCTAGATTACTTTGGTCAGTAGACTGGACAGCAGCAAGGCAGCCTTTTCATATGACATACCTCAGAAAAGGGATGGGGCAACTCGTTAGCATAAGCACTAGGACACGAAGCCTCCAGTCAATAGTATCGAGATCGAGTTTTACAAGACTCGTGGGCAGAAGCGTCCAGTCCGTTCCTGTACAACTTGCACCGGGGTCCTGGATGTTATCAATAAAAAGTGATATATGGGGCAGGATAAGAAGAAGCTGATATGATGATGCAAAAGACACGGGTATTATTGTTCCTGCATTTCGCTTCCTTCGACAACGATGCCATTGTGAATTACTTATTTACCTTTGACGGCGACATCAGCAAGCCCAGGTGACACTGAAACATGATGATTTTAAGATGCTAGCTCGCCGCGATCTGGTGGCACTGGCAAAGTGCCACACGCTAGGATGAAGCGAAAGCCCGGATAGAGGGCGAATCGAGTAAAAGGTACCAGACATGGTCAATCTCAGCTGTATCTTGCCGGCGGCAGGCGCAACATGACAGATGCTTCCAGGGAATCGGCTTAGGTTGGTGGGCGGTCTCAGCACGTCAACCACCGTACTTACAGCTTGGCAGCTCCTTGTTCAGCTGAAGTGCGCAATGGTGGCGTTCGTTGTGGCGCTGGCCGCTCGGCATTCCGCCGGATTGGCAGGGGTAACCCGGGTCGCATCTCTGCGTCAGGGAACAACGGCGAGCTGGCGCGGAACGCATTCGACCATAGCCTTCGTGTGCGATTTGGCGCAGCTACTGGTGCACTGTGGCGTAATCATCGAGGCACAAAGGGGGCGTGGTGCTGCCAAGACAATAGGTCCCGTGATGGATGCATTTCAGCTTGTGCGCAGGCGCCAACCGAAAGGCAACCCGCACCCATGTCGACATACCCTACCCATCCACCAACAGGTAAAACTGGTTATCAGACTGCAGCTTAACGCCCATGTATATACTTACACCAATCGCTTCATCGAAACAGCCGCCGTTTCCGCTCCATGTGGGGTTGTTTACAGCGATTTCGTGCAGCAAATGATTGCCTCTACCATGTGAATGGTAACTGTTAGCGACTCCGGCTTTGATGGCTTCCGCAATTCTACCCTCACCGATTTTAGTTTCTTGGGCGTCAATTTGTATCTCAATGTGGTTAACTCTTCTTGTACTCACGCTGTACAGATGCTGCCACAATTCGTCAAAGCGCTCGCGATCTTCGATTCCTTGTATTCCGCTGTAATATCGATCCTCATCTTGATCGCATACTTACAGATTTTAGTAGCTAGCCAGCAGGGACCTCGAGCGGTCTTGTGCAAAGGCTAGCTGGCATCCACGACTAGACTGTTCGGAATGTACTACGCGGTCAGCTAGATTTGCACGTTGACATTTCTCATTTGTTCATCAATCCGCGGCGTACACATCTTCATGTGCCTGTTGCTTGCTTTTTGAAAGCCACCCACCGGGATTCTGTCATGTTGAACCACGGAGTGTTGGAAATATCACAGCCATGTCTCAGTCCGAGTATAGCAGTCACTCATACCACAAAGGTGATATGCACACCTTTGTACAAGTGTGCATGCATCTAGAACCCTGCTCGCAGAAAAGGTGCAGTTTGTGTCGGCGATGTTGTCATGAGGCGAAAGATCTCCCTCCAGCTAGTCCACAGTCAACTCAACAGCAGGAACTCTATGTACTGTACCGGAAAATACCGTGATTCGTGGTCATGGCAAGTACACAGCCCGGCTCATTTAGGCAGTCTTGTCGTTGATATTAGTCCGCCTGAAACTCAGACGTAGCGTGCTTCTCCACGGCGATCCCGACGCCACACCAACACGTGATTCGCCTCACGCACAAAAACCTCGATATATATGCATTAGGTCAATCGCAAGGATGCCGGCTAGACTCTCGGTAGGGGGCTGAGATAATCTTCTGGTGGCAGATGATAGACAGTTAGACTATTGGAGGACACATTGCCCCTTTCGAATATTCAAATCAGAACCCGTTATAATTTTACGCCCCTTGTTTTCAGACTATTATAACAGGCTTTCGTGGCATGTTTCTAAGGATTCTCCTAACTTGCGTTCTTGTAGTATAGAAGAAACTGGTAGGTTGAAACCTGTTTTTTTCGGCTGACGAGTCTAGCACTAGATCAATGACCGCTTCATTCTCATGTGCAGTCTTCTTGGTGATTCCTATAATGGGCAACAATGTGAGCTGCTCGGGTACTTCTTCCATAGCCATATCAAAGAAAATCTCTTGCTCCGTGTCAGAGTCTGGAGGGATGGAGACAGAATCACTGCGATTCAAGTGCTGTAGAAAGACGTGCGTGATCCTCGCGGTCTTGGGTTTGGCGGAATGAAAAGGATTCTCAGTAACCCAGAGAATTGACGTAACTGGTCCAACGAGTCCTATAAATCCAGAATTGACCTGACCGAAGCGATAGACACTATCATAAGACATGCTTGCTTCTTCAAGTGTTACCGGGTAGTCGTTCGAATCGTAGTTATGCTGGCACCACGCAAACGATATCTTGTCTTGGATGGAGGCCCAGGACTATGTCGGAGCTATGTATTCTTCGTACCTTTTCGGATAGCCTAGCCATTTATATGAGTACCCTCCCTGAGGGGTCTCAGATATCCTGGGTTTCCATAAAAGATACACCGGCAGTGATGATTGCCACATACCTGCAAGATATTCGTCTCCAGGTTCGCCTGAACCGGAAACTGATATGCTATTTGCAATACCTGCCAGTGCTATAAGTTTGTCTTTGGAGTAGGTGAGACTTGACATTGAGTACAGTTCCATCACTGCATCCCAATCTCGAAATGCTGATGAGCTCTTCATTTGGGCATGGAGAGTAACTTCTCGCTTAATAATAGGCCGGAACATTATCTTGAGGCTATTCCGTATTCCTTCCATCATCGTTTCATATTTTGAGGCTTCTGAGATATACTCTATGGGCCAGCGTTCGTCCTTGGTCTCATCTCCAAGCTGTAGTTTCTTAATGCCGATCAGTGGATCTCCACACAAAGCGACAGGTAGTCTGTCATGGTAGGTTTCACATGCGGATAACTCTCGACATTCCCAAAAAACCTGCTCATGCCCAAAATGTAAAACACGGAGTGAAAGGATTCGTCCTTGTAGTACCCATACACGTCTGTTCAGTGGCTTTTCCGTAAGCTTTCTGGTACAGAGGCTAGGTGCTGGTACAACAAGGTACCTGGTTTTTCTTCCTCGGTGATTCGACCAACATATATCAAGTTCCGTCGGTACTACCTCCTGCGGATTTCTCTCGCAAAAGCATCCCTGAGAACTATCGCTTGCGCCTGTGGCAGCTATGTTAATGAAGGAGTACTGGTATACATTGCTCACGGAAGCAGCTTCACGGATCCGGTCGTCGCTATCGTCTTGAATTATGCATAAAGAATCAATGCAAAGATAGCACAAGCGGAACTTTCGGGCGATCTTGACTGCATCTCGGAATGTCTTTGGAAGTTTTTAGTAGGGAATGAGCTGCTTGGATTCCTCGATATTGTGTCTGGTTGTTCGAGGTAGTTGTACATTTGTACCCTAGCAGTGAGAGAGTGTGGTGTAGTTTTGTTTAGACCGAGAAACATCTTTTCCATTTACCAATCGAACAACGTCTTTTTCAAAGATGCCGACATCAAGCAATCGCGTGGGTGATCATTGTTCCGGGGGAGAAATATTGCATCGGGTGTGGTTCTGGGTACAGTCTCTTACCCAATGTTCAATCAGATCCCAAGTCTCTGGAGAGTCTGTAGATACTGAAGGCTCGTAATGGGCATAGCCGCCTTTGAAAATAGATTAGCTTTGATTCATACGGAAACCAAAAGATTGAGCCGACTCACCCTGAGGGTTCTCAATAATTCCAAAGTAAAACCGCAATCTGAAGCTCGCTGCAGTCTGTGATTGCAAGACCAATTCGAATGAGTGTTGCCAGCTTGCCGAGGATGTGTCTGATTGGCAATCAATGGGGAATAACGTTTCCGGAAGATCAGAAGAGTCAGAGTCCCTGTTGTATAGCCGACTAAACGCAAGCGCACATATACAACAAGCGATTTCAGCTGAACTTCTCAAAGATGAGAGTGATTGGTGATATGTAAGGTTTTTGTACCATCCAGTTACCCGTATTATATCTAGTATGCCCTTGCATGTTGTGCATAGTCCTTTGGGAACCGTGGAAATCATGTCGGGAGATGCAGTAATACGCTTTGTCGAAGGGCAAGTGTAGCAGTGAATATGGCACGACGTTGCCTAAGGAACTTGTGGGATTCGGCTATAACATGCAAAGTGACTGAGCAAGAATACCCCGCCCACGTCTCATATCACAGCCTCATTTCTCTTTGCTTCGCAAAAATCCTGCGCCCTCTTCACTGCTATGTCTTCAATATATGTGTCTAGCTCGTAATTGTTGGTCTTTGGTGGCTCCTCATCGACGTGGGAGGGAAACTGGGACACTGAAGTATGCATATCCTCTTAGTTCCTTGGTGTGATATCCATAAGTTCACGGGTTTACAGTACACATCGTTCTTATAAAGTGCCCACAGGATTTCTGGGAAAACACATGACACCAGTTCCAATATTATTGGCTGTAGCACATGACTAGGAGGTCCTTTGAGCGATGAATCAAGATTATCACGTAACAACCTTTTCTAGGCACACGAGAGTATGCGCGCACGACAGCCATCCTTGATACTTTGGCAGAGCTCCTGCAAAATGCTCAAAACTGAGCATCGAGCTGAAAGACTGGTCGGCCCTCCCTCCATTCATCAAAGTTCTTTTCTCCAGGCATCTCCCTGCCATCAGAAAGCTTGAGTCTTGGGAATGGTCTGGCCTCGCGGTTATAAGTGGGCTCTTTTTGGGCCAACTCTTCGTTGACTAGGACCAGAGCACCTGAATGCCAGCCTGCAGCACTGACCCGCAGAACGAAGTGCGCGCCGAGGCCATCTTCGCCCCCATCTTCATCCCAGACTTTGGCTTCTTGCTCAAACCACTCACTGACTTCTCCTTGTACGTTAGCATCATTAGCCCACATTTCTCTGCGTTCATTGCTTTCTTGAGCGTGTGCATCATCATGCACGGTTTGAGCGAGCCATTCATTCTTCCTTGCGTCGAACCAGATCTGGCGACCGGATGTGTAGGCATGCGGCAGCAGTTGCCCATTGGCATTGAACCTGTCGTACACAATACCGCGAGCCTTTCCGACTACACTGTCATCGTTTGAGCCCAGGCCCAGCGCCCCACAGGCTGTATTCTCCGTGCCATACGATGTAATCTTGCCATTTGCGTGGAGTGCAAGGTAGTGATAATCGCCAAAAGCGACTGAGATAACATCATTGTGCTGCAGAGCAGGTATCTTTTTCAAACCCGGTAGGTCTTTTTGCTCTGGATTCTCTTGTAGATGACGTATGCATGATTCGAGGTAGTTCTGGTCGCTGATTATGACCTCGCCGTCCTTGAAAATAGCGAAGCTGCGGAAAGAGCCTTGAACATCGACAGGAGCGCCTTTATCATGACACAGTTGACGTAGCTCAACAACTCTGTCTATCTCGTTCTTTTCTCCAAATCTTCCGCAAAACACCTTGCCTAAGTCTGTGGTAAACACGACAAAGTGCTCCAACATGATATAGTTCATCACTGCTCCCACCTCTTCGCTTAATTCTCTCTGTTCATCACTCTCGCGGGCGCCTTTGAGATGCTGATAGCTAGTCATCGGGACTTCTGCATGTTCCATGACGAGCATGGTGTCCGTGTCTTCGTCACCATGATCTCTTTCAACTGGATCCCATACGACTATGCCGATACCATTCACAAGGGCCGAACTTCGACTCCACCCTGCTACGACTTGTTTAATCTGTCCGAAAGTCGATTCGGTGCTCGACATCCCACGCAAAGAGAGCTCGTTGATTTGCAGGGTCGCAAATTTGACTTGCAGAGCGGGCTCTCTTGTGTCAAACCACGACCATAGCCTGCCACTGTCTGAAAGTGCTAGTATGTGTGCTCGACCCGAGGAGAATTGGCGAATGGCGACTGCCGGCTCTTCGTATTGAGCTTGGGTAGCATTGGTTGGGTAACCTTCTGGAAAACGGAGAGCGTGGAGGGGGCCGGTGCCGTAGGTGATTCTTTGGCCATCAAGGACTCCCGCAGTATGCAAAGAGCCCTTGGAGGTGAGAAGGGTTGTCGACCAGCCTCTGAATGCATGTGTCAGCACTTTGGACAGCCAAGCCAGCACGAGCGCTACAAAACGTACCCGCACTGCATGTCTGCAATGACGCCCAGATTTCGCGTGTTATCCATTTCTGTCGGATGTGCTTCCTTGGAGTTGTATCCGGTACGGCGGCCTGGTCGCATCAGATTTGTCCTTATATGGGACAAGTGAGGAAAGAAAGTAGTCTCAGGATGGGAAGCGTGCCCCAAACGGTTATGTCCATTCTGACCCCACGTGAAGACACGGCTCTGAGTGAGCAGCCGACGGTACATCTTCTGCCACCGGACACCGTCATGCTGGACGACTGGCTGATTAGGTACACGGAAAGTGGTGCGAGTGATGTAGCTCCAGTAGGCGGGGTCGAGTCGTATCGAAGGCTGCTGGAACGATTTGCATGTACTACATAGACTGAGAAAGCTCTTTGCATCTAGGTACGGGAACACTAGTACGAGGATATCGAGCGGGAGATCTGTGATGGATGTGACTCGTTCGGCCATGGTGGTGATGGCGGGGCCTTTTTGAGGCCTGTTACAAAGACGTACTCTTGTAGTCTGGGGATATGCTTCTGCTGTGTATAGGTCTGATAGGCAAGAGATAGGAAGGGTAGTATCAGTATAGGGGATACCTGAACTTGGTCTTGTTTGTGGTTGAATGGCCAATGACGCAACAAACACCTGCGGGGCTGAATGCGGGACATTTCCGTCTGGGCGCTAGTCCCGAACCGGTCACCAAACTTCTGACTCAGTTCACGACTCTATCAAATTTCCGCCTGCCCAGCGAGGCTTACCACTCCACGCATTCTACGGCTCCATCTTGCTATTTCGGGCCACAGAACTACCCACCAAGTTTGATAGCCCTCGGGAAGCCAGGTTCAAGAACGGGAGCGCAGACATACCCCCACCACACAACGCTGGCTTTCACCTGACTGGCCACCATCCAGACGCGAAGAGCAGCAACGACACAAGAGGCCCAACGCCATGTCTGAAGAACCAGCTACTATGCCTGCGCCGGTGCCAGCGCCAGACTCAACCGTCTCTGCGGCTGCACCAGCACCTGCCGAGGGTGCACCAGCGCCTGCAAATGGTGATGCTACAGACGGTCCTAAGAAACTCTCGCCAGCAGAATTGAAAAAACAAAAACAGGCCGAAAAGCAGGCCAAAAGAGCGCAGGCTAAGGCTGCAGGAGGTGCACCCAACCAACAGCAAGGGCCCCCGAAAGATGGCCAAAAGCAGCAGAAAGACTCGAAGCAAACATCAAAAGACGACAAGTCAAAGCCTCTCCCAGTACGGCGACGACCGTCGCAGCAGAATGTGCCGAACTCGAAAGAACCAGAGAAGAAATCGAAGAAAGACTTGAGTTCAAAGCAAACAGGCTTATTTTTTGGCCACCTGTACAGCCAGCCCAAGCAGCAGTCCCTTGTTGGAGCATCAAAAGATGTGCATCCGGCGGTCCTCGCACTTGGTCTTCAATACAGCAGCTACACCATCTGTGGTAGTACAGCGCGCATGGTAGCCATGCTTCTAGTGTTCAAGACGGTCATTGAAGCCTACCAGACGCCTCCAGGTAACAGCTTGGCTCGCCATCTTACCAGCCATCATCTCGGTCCCCAGATTGAGTTCTTGAAGAGCTGTAGACCACTCAGCATCAGCATGGGAAACGCCATCAGGTGGCTGAAGGACGGTAAGTCTGCGCTTTGTACTCTGCTCAGAAAAAAACATGGGAAGCAGAAAGTGCTATTGCCATGCCAATATCCTGCTAGAGCGTTCGGACCCAGTATGCTGATTCATTCGCAGTCATTATCAAAATAGATCCATCGACCCCTGAGAACGAGGCTAAGCGCGATCTCATTGAGGAGATTGACATCTTCATTCGTGAACGTGTCACAGCTGCGGACAGACTCATCCGCGACCTTGCAGCTACCAAAATCCAAGCAGGCGACGTAATCCTGGTTTATGCAGCCTCTTCTATTGTTGAGCAAACCATAATACATGCTCACGAATCCGGCATCCCGTTCACGGTCATTGTAGTCGATTCGAAGCCACTCTTCGAAGGAAAGCAATTGGCACGGAAGCTTGCAAACCGTGGCATCACTGTTCGCTACTATCTCGTCACTGGAGCCTCGCACGCTGTAAAGGATGCCACTAAGGTCTTTCTGGGAGCCCATGCCATGATGTCCAACGGCCGTCTCTACTCGCGCGTCGGTACAGCCCTAATCTCCATGCTCGCCTACTCGCACTCCATCCCCGTCATCGTCCTCTGCCAATCAGTCAAATTCACAGAGAAAGTCGCTCTAGACTCTATCGTAGGAAACGAGGTCGCCCCCGCCGAAGAAATGCTCTCCGAGGCCGAGCGTCGTGCTCTCCTTCCTCTCAAATCCCGTCTTCCCTCGTCCAAAAATGATGACAAAACGGGCTCCGAAGATGCGCCCGCAGACACCACCGATGTCCTGAAATGGATCGAAGAAGCAAAAAACCTGCATCATCTCCAGGTTCTCTACGACGTTACTCCCGCACAGTACATCAACATGGTTATCACCGAATACGGGAGCTTGCCGCCCAGTTCGGTCCCCGTCGTCCACCGCCTGAGTACGAACATATAAACTCCCGCCCAGCGTATTCATTTTTTTTGTTATTGTTCAAGAGTACAGTTTTTTTTCAGGAAGCCAAGTACTAACACCCGGTGTTTCAGGAACTGAAGAGCAGGAGATTACGCCTTCCAAGAAGGGTATACGCCAGGCTACTGGGTGGTAAAAGGGACGGTTGGAAAAGGCTTGCTTGGATATATATCCTTTCGTCTCGGGGAATAGCCAAATGCGGAGTTTTTCTAGCGTATAGAGAAGCTGGCTTTCTGTCAAGCTGAATTAAGACGGTAGATAAGATGGGTTCCCTCTTGCTCATAATTTCAGACTATGGCTTGCTGCTCAATCCCGCTTGAATTGTGTTTACTTCTTTAGCATCTCAGATCGCATTTACATGCAAGTCCTCGGGGTGATACAGGAAGTCGGAAATGCACATGATAAGTCGGCCAAAGATTACCATCAATCTCGCACTCTTACATATCTACATTTCTCTTCTGGAATTTGTTTTCTTCGCATTTTGCATACACATTGAAGATTTGAGCATACACATTGTTTGCTCGCCCCTGCCAGATCACTACGACTTATCCTTCAACGCCCGAAGCGCCCCCATAACATCAACCGGCGCCGTCTTACCAGTAACCTTCTGAAGCTCCGGGTCCGTAACACGCATGAAAACATTATGCTGTTTCTCATCGCCAATCGTAAATTTGCCCTGCGTCTCCTTGTTCTCTTGCGAAAAGGTGTCAAGCTTCTTGATGGCATCGTTGTTAAGCACAGTCTTGGCAAATTTTACGTTACCCTTTGTGTACTCGTGTCCGGGGAAGACTTTGGTGTCATCTGGGAGGGCGGCAAGTGTTTCATTCAAGGCTTTGTACATTTGTTCAGGGGTTCCTTCGAAGAAGCGGCCGCATCCGCCGATGAACAGTGTGTCTCCTGTGAAGACAGCACGGTCGTTGCCGTCTTCGAAGTAGAAGCAGATGCTGTCTTGGGTATGGCATGGTGTGTGTAGTGCCTTGACGTTGATGGAGCCAAGGTTGAAGGTGTCGTTATGGCCAGGCGTGGTTGAGACTTTTTTGCAGTCGCGTCCGCCAATTACCGGCACGTTGAAAGCTTCAAGCTAAGATACGAGTCAGGGTTAACAATCCAGATTAAGCGATGTTCATTTAGTCTCACGATTTCAGTGTTGCCTCCGGCATGATCATCGTGACTTTTGAAAAAGATCAGTACAGTTCAGTTTAACAAAAGGGAAGACTAACTGATGTGTGTTGATGATCTTTGTCAGTTTGAGGCCTCCAGTAGTGGTCTGCTCTTTCAAAACAGGTAGCACCCTATGTTGTAGTTAGCAAGGTCAACGATTCCGGTTGTTCCTGTTTGGTGTACTCTGAGGGGTTTGCCGGATCGATGATCACAGCCTCCTTGGTCTTATCATCAGACACTAGATAGGCATAGTTGTTGCCCGTACCCTCCCCTAAGGAACACGTAAGCAGAAAGACTGATGAAGCTTTCCATCAAGGTGCTCTTACACATGGGAATCGATTGAATATGCATGGCGCGGGAAGTCACGGATGAACGCTGCTTGGCGTTAGCCTGGAGATCAACACATGGAAACTGATGAGTCTATTTACTTTTGCAATAGGTCGAACAAACGATGATAAAGAACCTCTCTTGATTGAAGCGGCGAGAAAGCTCATATGGACGATGGTAAGATTGGTGGAATGTAGGAGTCATGCAATTGGAAGTGTAATGACGTGTTCGCCCTCTATCGATAAGAACGTCACGTGGAAAGAGCTCCATCTGGAAGTCACATACCGTTCCCAAGACTCATTGCACATACTCGTGTTTCTCATCAAATCCTCCAATCACAACAGTCGGACTACACATATGATTTCTTTGGCTCACATCACCGTGGTGCGAAAGGGTCTTATGGTTGATACATGCATTCATGTCTTATTTACACTATTACCACACCTAGAAAAGAAACCCAATCGTACGCCATAGCCATGCTCATACATTCGTGAAAATCATTCCGCATTATAACATCCCATCATAGGAGCGACTTCAGCCTCTTCTGTAGCTCAGGCTGAGCTGTTGATCCTTCACCACGCAGACGGCGCTCTTGTGGATCATGCAAGGGATCGCGAGTCACTGTGGCTTTGATCTTCTTGCCAAAGTACTCGATCTCCACTGACGCTCCTTCACTAATGTTGCTTGGAAGCCATGCGTATGCCACAGGCTTCCGGACAGTGTAACCGAAAGCTGCACTAGTGACATAGCCAGCTCTTTGACCCTCGACAAAGACTGGCTCTTTGCCCAGCACCATTGATCGACCATCGTCAACGGTAAGACACTTGAGCCGACGAGGAGCAGCCTTCTTCGAAAGTCTCTCCAAAGCAGATTTTCCGACGTATTCTGCCTTCTTATCCAGCTGTATCGCATATGTTACTCCAGCTTCCCAAGGGTTGTGTTCAGAATTCATATCGGATCCTGACGCTCGGATGCCCTTCTCGATTCGTAGACCATTGAACGCCGCGCGGCCGGCGGCGATGAGTCCATGAGGCCTGCCTGCCTGCCACAACAGATCCCAAAGACGCAGACCAAAGTCAGGCGTGGTCTGGATCTCCCATCCATACTCTCCTACAAAAGACTTCCGGAACATAGTGACAGGAATGCCTGCTATGCTGGTCTTCTTGACTCCCATATAAGGTAGCCCTTTGTTGCTGAAGTCATCTGAGCTGATTGTTTGAATGACATCTCGAGCCCTGGGGCCCCAAAGACCAAGACAACAGGTGCTGCCTGTAATGTCTCGCACTTGAACCCATTTGCCGGGTGTGTGCTTTTCCTGACGGCGACCCTCACGTATGAGGTATGCAAGGTCGGTCGCAGTGTTGGCGCCCACCTGGAATAGATCTTCTTCAATCCTGGATACAAAAAGGTCGCTCAAGACACCGCCATGAGCGTTAACGAGCAAGGTATGAACGATACTGCCAGGTTGTGCGGAGACGTCGCTAGTTATAAGTCTTTGGAGCAGGTGAACTGCACCAGGTCCAGATACCTCGAAACGGTGAAAGGTCGTCATATCATATAATGCTACAGCATTTCGTGTCTTCCACGCTTCGGCGGCAGCAATTGGCGAATAGAACTTGGATGACCAGGCGTCGCGGTCGACTGGCTTCCACTCGTCTGGCAAAGTTTGTACCAATCCAGCGTTCGCCTCATACCAGTGTGGACGCTCCCAACCTCCAATTTCGAGGAAGAACGCTCCCTGTTCCTTCTGTCGGGCGTAGAAAGGGCTAACTCGGAGGTTTCGAGGGCTCTCTTTTGGTGCGAGAGGGTGGATAATGTCGTAAATCTCAACAAAGTTCTGCTGCGAAGTTTCGCTAACGTACTCTGGGCTAAGCTGAACTTCTTCAAAACGTGTTAGCTCACACTCGGAGATGTCGACAGTTGAGCGACCCTCTGTTAATGTCTCTGCAACAGCCCGAGCCACGCCAGCCGAGTGGGTGACCCAAACAGCTTCGGCGACCCAGAAGTTGTCAAGGTTAGGAGCTTGTCCAACCACAGATCCGCCATCAGGTGTGAAAGAAAAGATTCCGTTGAAACCGTCTACGATCTCAGTCTGGCGCAGAGCGGGAAGTAATTCTTTGGTGGCTTGCCAAGCTGGCTCAAAGTCCTCAGGCGTAAAGTCTAGTCGAGATGGCATACTCTTCTCATCGACATGCTTAGGAGTGACACCCAACTCAGAAGCTTTGACAGGCATTGGGCGATGGCCGTAGTAGCCAATGCCAAATTGCTCTCCATGCTCTCGATAGTATAGGTCCTGGTCTTGGTGTCGCAGAATCGGGTATTCAGCGTTCATGGCATTGATCTTTCTGTTGACTTCACGGTTCTCGAGACCGGGAACAGGTGTTGTCTTTGCGTACTGGTGGCCGAGAGGAAGGAGCGGGACCTTGAGACCGATCATAGCGCCAATCTCTACACCCCAAAATCCTGCGCATGAAACGACTATGTCTGCTGGGATTGAACCGTTGTTTGTTGTAACACCGGTTACTTGACCATTTGCTTGCTCGATACCCGTAACTAGAGTATGTTCAAGGTACTTGACGCCGGCATTGCGTGTATTCTCAATGAGAATTTGTGTTGCGCGAGCTGCCAATGCGAGGCCGTCGCTTGGAATGTGTAGACCACCAAGGACAATGTCCTTGTTCAGAAGAGGATACTTCTCAAGGCACTCTTCAGGAGTGATCAAGCGGGCCTCTATGCCCCAAGACTGTGCATATCCATGCTTGCGCTTGAGCTCTTCCAAACGCTCGGGTGTAGTCGCAACTTCCAGGCCACCCAATTGGTTGAAGCAGTTCTGTCCATCCTTCTCCAGGGCTGATAGCTTTTCGACTGTGTATTTTGCGAGCAGTGTCATTGTTTTCGAAGGGTTCGTTTGGAAGACCAGGCCGGGGGCATGTGATGTTGAACCACCCGGCATACTCAGAGGGCCCTGCTCGACAACGGTGATGTCCTTCCATCCTCGTGAGACCAGCTCATCGGCCAGGTTGGTGCCGACGATTCCGGCACCGATAATGACAACACGCTGAGAAGTCGCCATTGCCAAAGAATAGAGGGAAATTGATGATTGACTGGCTTCCATGAGCCGTAGGAAGCGCTGCTCTCTTAAGACTACTCATGCTGGCGATAACGGACCATGCTGCGAATGCTTCCCCATCACAGAAGCCGAGACTAAGCGTGATCCAGAACTTCAATTGGAAAAACATCTCGCGTGATGATTCGAGCGGTAAGTGCTGGATCCAATCCGTCCGTCGCCCCGCATGCGGTCCTGACGACATTGGTGGGGAAGATGCCAGTCGTGGATGTAGGGTCCTGATGTCCATACTGGGCCTAGTGCCATATCTGCTGGGCAAGAAGAGGCAAGCCGTGGCGACACTACATAGCTTGCAGCAACCCCCGCCTCGCGCGTGCGCAACACCATCCGACTCTTCCTACACTCGACACCCTGCAGCATTTCTGTCTGTTACCACGCCAGGTAAGTCATATCATAGTATGTTGAGCTTAGTATGCTCTTCCCCCCAGCGAGACTTCTCGCCCCTTTTGTCCTGCCGAGCAGTGACAACGAATGCAACCTGCTGCAATCCAACTATTCGAACTCAAACAATCACTTGCTGTAAGCATTGAGAGTGATTGTACGCCATCAAGTCTCACAAAGATGCATTCCACTCATCCACTGCGACAAGCCCGGACATCCCACTATTCCACCAACAGCCTAGCGACAATACCTCCTTCAGATACCTATTCACACGGGGGCTATTCGAACGTGCCAATCCGCCCTGAACAGCCCTTGCAAAGCATCTTGCCTAAGACGAAGCAGTATGCAGAGCCCATAGAACAAACGAGCCGTTGCCATGGCCTGTAACGCACTCTCCTCGTCTGGAGCAAGCCCATACCGAGCTCACGGCTCTGTCCCCCAATTGCCTTGAGCGCGAAGAAGCGCCTTAAATAATCCCTGGGACACACTGGAACTGCGGAATCACTGTAATTCAGTTCGCAGACCATCTCGGCGCCCATTAGGTGGAGATGACGAGACATGACATGTCACTGCGCTGTCTGCGCCTGTCCGGCAGGCTCACGACTACGGTTGCCGAAAACACTCAAAGCCTCCCGAAACTTCTACGCACAGGGTGATGAGGGGTAACATCACATTGCTTGTTGCGCTGGCTCTCGACTCGAGCACATAGCGTTTTTCTAGGCGAGTCACGCCTCATTATTCGCACCTACTAAGCGCTTCGTTCTATCTTTTTTGACTCACTGACAATACGCACCACACTAGCTGAGTGGTCGTTATTCACTGAGGATTGGCGTCCGTTTGCCTCAGGTTGGGCGCCCGCAGACCTCCCTCCTGATATCGCTATCTATCGCGATAGGCGTCGATTTGACCACCTCATCACCACAGCTAGCCTATCTAAAGAACTACATATCGGACTTCCAACCTCAGCAGACTTTTCGATAAGAGTGCGATAACCATTAGGAAATGCCGCCGCAATAGCTCCGGCAATTATGGTGTTGGCTCAACGGTCAAGCTTTGGGCTGGCGTCTGATGTCCGCTTTTGGAAATCAGATCCATCCAAGCCCGTGCCAACAAGAGGGGCACAGACGAGAACGGTCTTTGCATTTTGTCACCATGATCTTGTCATGCGTCGTCAATGCAGATTATCCTGGGGTAATACACCGTTGTCCACTAGCAAGGACCAGCAGGGTTCTAGCCCACTGTCTAGAATAGTAGAATGATCACGATGGCGGATGGTGCGGTTGCGGAGAGGGCTGGTAAATCATCTACCAGCGTGGCGCCTGAGGGTCACCTGCGGTCTGATTACGTCCACTCACCCCACTGGCTATCGCCTCCCGGGAGCGAATGGAAGCTATAACCCCATACGGACTTAGTATATGGTTTCAGTTGATGCATTTGAGGAGATAGTGAGTTTAGACAGAAAGTATAATAATACTGCAGACATCCATCAGATTGACCTTCATCTTCTTCAGCAGACTTGACCAGTTCTCAGACATTACTGTCATTCACTTCATTTGAAAACACTGCTAGATATCCACAATATCTTATCTACCAGTACAGTATCCCAACATGGTCGGGGGACTCCTGAGTTATCTAGGCTTTGGCGGCGCAGCCGCCCAGACCCAACCCGAAAATGAGCCCGTACGAGCCCTTCCTGCGAACTGGTACACTTCAGAAGAGATGTATCAGCTTGAGAGACGCGCTATCTTCACAAGGAGATGGCTCATCCTCACCCACAAGTCAAGACTTGCCAACCCTGGCGACTTCCTTCGCTACAACATTGCCAACTACGACGTTGTCGTTTCCAAAGACCGATCGGGCGAAATCAATGCATTCCACAATGTGTGTAGACACCGCGCATACCCTGTCGTCGAAAAGGACGGAGGTAACGCAAAGATCTTCTCTTGCAAGTACCATGGCTGGTCGTACGGCCTGAACGGCAATCTAGCCAAGGCTCCCGGCTACCAAGAGCTTCAGAATTTCGACAAGGCTAAGAATGGCCTATTCCCTATCCACACACGCATTGACCGCAACGGTTTCGTCTGGATCAACATGGACTCAAAGAAGGTGCCAGAGGTATCATGGGAATCACAGTTTGACCATGTCGACGAGCAAACCCGCTTCGATCAGTTCAACTTTGACGACTACGAGTTCGACCACACATGGAACCTCGAAGGCCCCTTCAACTGGAAGATTCTTGCAGACAACTTCAACGAGTGCTACCACTGCAAGAGCACCCACCCCGACCTAACCACCGGACTCGTCGATCTCGAGAGCTACGACGTCTACTGCAAGGCCGACCACATCCAACATGACCCCAAGACGCCGCAATACCGCAAGGATCTCGGACAAGAGATTTGCTCCACATACTGCTTCCCCAACGCCTCCTTCACAGTCACACAACACTTCCTCTTCATGCAAAAGTTCATGCCCAAGTCGCCCACCGAGTCCGTCATGTACTACGAAGTCTGGCGCAACAAGCACTCCTCCGAAGAAGACTTCCTCCTCATCAGTGACACCTACAAGCGTGTCATGGGCGAAGACAAGGTGCTCTGCGAGCGCGCGCAAAAGAACATCGAAGCCGGCATCTTCATCAACGGCGAGTTGCACCCCCGCATGGAGAAGGGCCCCCTCTTCTTCCAGAAGCGCTGCCGCGAAATCGTCATGGAGCACGGCATGCGCGAGAAGAAGGCTGGCCACAAGATCTGGCCCGCCAAGCAGCAGCTCGACTCCGAGGCTGGGTCTCAACTCACAAAGGAAATGGAAGATTTCTGTGAGGGCCTCTCGTGCGGCACCGACAACGAGAAGAGCGATCTCGCTTGGTAGTGAAAAATTCTTTTAGACACACAAAACTTGTTGATGATGATTGAACGACTACCTTGGGGTTAATAGCATGGTATATTGGTGTTCTCTGGCGCGTGGTTGGGGGCTGAAGTACTAGAGTCTTAGAACTCGTACTTGTTATCTCGGAGCTTTTTTGTTTGTCTGGAGAAGGGGGGAAGGGAAACAGGCACACTTTTTTCTTATTAATGATTCTTCTTAGCGATTTCTCTTGTTTGTTGTTTGATAGCGCATTCGTCCTTTTTTTCCCCTACTACCCTCCATCTAGATGAGAGAGAAATGAAACTTCGTTGCTATCTTCACTATACTCTTCGCCACATCCTCCTCGTTTTGGCTTCTTTTTTGCTTTTTCGGGGGGCGCAGAGAGCGCTCCAGACTCCCCCATCGCCCCCTCGTCCCCTTAGCTTTTAGCCGCTCTCTCGCTCGCAGTAGCAGCAACGGAGGGGGAGGGGAACTGGGCCTTTCCCTGCCAGCATAACAGAGCTCGGGGGGTGGGGGATGGCGTAAACCCCGGTAAAAACCCAGTTCCCTTCCCCCCTCGTGTCCATGCACCCCCCATTTCCATGGAAAGACGCCCTTGCATGGCCTTTTGCCCCTCCCCCCTCGCCCCGTACCAGAATCTGAGCGCCAGGTTCCGTTAACGGACGCAGACGCAGGACCTGAGATAATGGCCAAGGGAAAATGTGGGGTTCGACCCAGACTGCGATTTCGGTCCTAATTGGGAAAGTCTGTGCATCGGCCAATCGGATGTCAGAGATACTGGTTGATTGGCGGTCGTTGGGAGACAGCGCGGTTTTTTTGTGGAGGATGCGCGATGGGCGATAGCTGATCTTTTTGTGATGTGGGATTTTTCTTGGTTGGAAATTACGGGCTATGACATCTACATGTTTACATGTGTGCGCGCCTGTGTTTGGTTTGGTTTGGTGGATGCTGTGGAGAGAGCTGTCACGTGAGTGGATGGATGTCACATGGTTCTTGAGCTGTTGTGCTCCGTAGGGGTATTGGAAGGAATTCTTACGTATGTATCGTGATCGTCTTGGACATGTACACGTGACATTCTTCTATTACGCCTACGTCAATTTTACACAGTCACGTGGAGAGGTATCGTAGAAGTGTGGTCTTCTCCTGTGGTATAGCCGTGACTTCTGCCTACTAGCATTTCCTTCCTTGGCTGTAGATGGCCAACTCGCGCAGTTACTTCTGAGCTTTTTGGAGATTCTACCAGAGTCTCTATTGGGAGACTTAGATACATGTCAAGCCTGGTGGCTTGACTGTTAGCATCGTTGGACAAATCTCCACATTGACATGCTTCGCCATGTTGACCTATAGTTACAACTAATAACGACGAACGTATCCACCATAACCACCCCATCCGCCCCACGCTCTGCCCCTGGCAGCACCCCTTCCAATCTTCGTCGCTTCGTCATTCCACCTTTTACTTGCATTGCCGCGTAATCTAGGTCTCTGCTTGTAACCACCATTCCGGTACGTCCCGTCGTTATGATACTCGAACTCAATCTCTTTGCCGCGTTTGTCTGGCGCGTCAAACCTGTCCAGCCAGCGATTGAGGTGCACGCGACTATCTTTTGCACCTGCTGAATAAGAAAGAATGATTCGTATCTTGCGCTTTGGTTTTCTGTCATCGTCGTCTACCTCATCAGCAGTAGGTCCGTGGGTGCTAAGCCT